GGTACCAAGAAGTGGGTGGTTACTGCGCCTGCAGCTCTGATGTGGACAGGCCTTTGGAATCTGGGAAAACTTGGGAATGCCATAGTGGAGCCTAACAAGCCGATCTGGTGGAATCTTTGAAGACCAGTACCAGTAGCCATGTGGACAGCAAAGGTGATACTGCCAAGGTTTCTGATAGAAAGGAAATTGGAGACTGGACTAGAGGCCACCCTTGTTAGGCCTTGGCAAAGAATCTGGTTGCATTTTTTCTCTGACCTGGGACTTTGTGGGAGGTCAGGCTTAAAGGTTATGAATTAGTTTGTCTGACAGAGGATATTTTAGGGCAGCACAGCACTTGGACTGTGGCATGGGTATTACTGGCTACTTTTAGCCAAATTTACAATGATAGAAAGAAGAGCAGAGCAGAAAGATTCGGGGGGAAAAAACACAGTCTGGGGAGAAAAGGAGTTTTACAGGTATGGCCAAGGAGGGTTCGTCATCACTGCCAAGAACAACAGGCCAAGTGCTTTGCACCAGGACAAGAGGAAAGATGCCTCACGTGCATCTCAGGAGGAGGCCAGACCCCACCACCACAGCTCAGAGATGTAAAAATGCAGATTTATTTCCAGGACAGAGTCTTTTGAGAAGAGAGCCCAGAGTATGCTGCCCCTACACAAACATGTGCCTAGGAATCTGGCTTCCCCATGTACTGCCATACAGGCACTTGAGGACAGCTGCACTGTCCTGAGTGGGCCCAGGTCCAGCCCACCTGGCTGAAGACCTTGGCACCATCCACTTGATGCTTGGTTTGCAGATGTGCAGAATGCCGGAGTTCTGAGGCCATGGAAGCTTCCACAAGATCTCACAGGGAAACCTAGGAGCCAGAGAGTGTACAGCAGGGTCAGCCTGCAATCAGTCCCTGCGAGGGTGGTATGTGGAGCTGTGAGAGTGTAACTGGACCTCAGGAAGTTGGAGATGCCAGGAGGCAAGCACAGGCAGTGAGCAAAGCCAGCCAGAGGGGCTTAGATGTCATGCCTGCCCCTCTCCCCAAACTCCTCTCAGTCCTCCTCACTTCCAATCAGGCCCATGTCCAGGTCCCAGAAAGGGAGGACCCTGGATTGAGATAGCCAGGCCAAAGGGCAGAGCCATACCTGGGCCTCAGTTTCTGTCATTTCATCTCCTGCAGAAACATAAGGAATGCAGTACTTGCGGGTCACACCTGCCTACATGAAGACTCTACTTTGTTCAGATATTCCCATGAACCAGTTTGGCAGTTGACAGCCCTTTTACTAAGTGGGGAGGGTCTTTTTTTTTTTTTAACTATTGAGAATGGGTGTGCACGTTCAAATTTATTCTCACTGTGGCCATCAAGACATGCCAGGGTCAGGAGTGGGGGCTCATACCTATAATTCCAGTGGCTTGGGAGCCTGAGGCATGGGGATAGCAAGTTTGAGGCCAGCCTCAAAAATTTAGTGAGACCCTGTCTTCAAATTTAAAAAAAAATTAAAAAGCTGGAGATGTAGCTGAGGTGGTCAAGAACCCCTGGGTTCAATCCCTGGTATCAATAACAAACAAACAGAAACATGCCAGACTGGGACTTCCAAAAGTCCAAAGCACCAACGTCTCAAGACTTCTCTAGCTGGAACTTCTAACTTAAACAGAAGTCCACATGTCCTCAGGCCTTTCCCATGTGAAAGTCCTCTTCATCTCTGCTACAGGTGGAAAAATCTGAATAAAGTCCATCATGCTGACTGGTATTCCAACCCTTTCTGCAAAATGTGTAACTCATGCCTCTTCTGAGCTACATCATGTGGTGTTGCAGAAGCAAAAGTTAAACCAAAGAATGTGAGAGGCCCATGACCTGGGTGTCCTTAGCATAGGAGGGAAAGAATCAGGCAGGAGGCCCCTCATGGACACAGGCAAAGCTGCTACTTGTGAGGCTGTGCTCCTGCACCTTCTCAGGGAGACGGTCCTATGAGCAATCTTGGCTTCCTAAAAGCTTTGGTCATTCCTAGCAGACTGATAGCTACTGACTGGTAAAGGCTAAACATGAAGCAATATTCATTATAGCACATGAGACTATCTTTTATGAAAGGTGATTGTTTTCTTTCTAATGAGATATTAGGTTGTTAAATGAGTGATATAATAGTTTAAAACCTGTTAATACATACCTTTGTCAGAAGTCTTTGTAGAGAGTTAATATTCATCTAAAATTAAATTAATACCTCTTTTGACAAGACAAGAATGATTGTGGCTGGGGTGCTGCAGCTTTCCTTACACTGCTTAAAACTGAGCAAATGATGTTCCTCTCATGAGCCGAACATCTTGAATAAAGGTTGAGGTGCTCACAACAACTAACTCAATTCCAGCAAACAATTTTTTCCAATAATTTCAAAACAGTTTGTTGCTAATTTTCCAGCTTTTTGGATCCTTGACAGTAGACATTTGTTCAGTTACTAAAGGAGAGAATTACATTATTTAATATAAATGCATTACCTCTTCGTGCCTGAAAGTAGATGGATAAGCTCATAATGATGACTTCAAGTGAATTACCTTGAGATTTTTGTAGGAAACACTGCATTTTTTCACATATTTTTGAAGATCGTGTAGTTTTACACTAGGGACAACTCCAGCCTCCCTGTTTTACACAAAAAGAAGTGGAGAGACCGAGTGACTTATGACACAACTTCCTGTCTCCGTGAGCTGGTACATACCTGCCTTCTCAGGCCTCAAAGCAGGGAGTTCAGCAGATCAGACTGCGCTTACATTGAGCACAAGACACATATTTCTGGAAGCTGGAGAACTTCACAGAGTTCATCCCAGCAACACTGCAAATTGAAAAGTCTAGGAAAGACTAGTAAACCAGTATAGTCTTCTATTTAAACTCTATAAATCTGTGTATATAACATGAGCGGCACTGGGAGTGACTTTAACACAGAACTTGACACAAGTGAATGAAAGAACACCTGGAGTTTCTAATCCTTAACTGTCAGGTTTCATGGATTCAAATTCCAACCAGGTGCTGGCTCTGTGCTGTGTAGGTATCTAGTTAGTGAGTGAGGCTGAAGCAGCATCCACACAGTGGGCAGCAGGAAGCAGCCATTCAAGGAATCCACTTGTCCCATTAAAAAGTGCAAAAGAAGAAGGGTAACGCTTGTCGAAACTTCCTTGTTAGTAGTATTTGTGGGAAGTAGATCCCACTGATGTCCTTTATAAAAGTGTAGTTTTTCATTCTGTGAAATGCTTATATTTAAAAATACTATTTAGGTAAGTCTAAAATAACACATGCTTAGGCTGGAGCAACAGCAGCAACGACAGACAGAAGCTTCATCAGCTCCCACTACCTTGCTCACCAGCTGTGTGCACACCCTGAAGCCGCCAGGCTACCCTGACCGCTCACCCAGCCAGCACCAGAAAGCATTGGGCGGCAGGCGTCGCTCTTGCTAGAGGAACTTAGAGAACTTAAATTTCTCCCTATTCATGAAAAGGGGAAAGGGAGAAAGGAAAAATATCTCATTTCATGTGCCTAATATATTTGACATAAAACTTTACTTTTTCCTGAGTGTATTTCAGCAGAAACGTTAGCATGTTAGTAATTTTGCTTGCAAACCCAAAACAAAACAAGAGCCTTCCTGGGAAGTCAAACCATTTGTTTTTAGAGAGCAGATATAGACATGCCCAAGGGTCCCGCTTTAGTATCTCCCACCTCTACCCCACCTCTACCCTGACACACATTTTTTCTCCCCCAACAGACCTAGGGAAGAGAGCACGCTGACGATAGACAGAACTGAGCCACTCTCCGCGATCGCTGGGGGACAGTGACTTTAGCCTCCTGTGGAGGTGCGGGTCTGCGCGCGCGAGCGCACCTGCACCTTGGCTGCATCTTGGTGCCACCGCCCGTGCAGCTGCCGGTTAATGGTGGAGGCTTTTAATCCTCGCCCACTCTCTCCCTTTCTGGGACTGTGTTAGAACACCTTTCCCAATCAGATCAGATCGCCGACTTGGAAGACATCCAGCTCTTGCCCAGAAAGCACCAATAAAATGGGAAAGTGCGCAATTGATTGATAATACATTTTACAAGAAAAAAAAAATCAAGTAAACTATGGAACCGAACCCTCACAAAAGTGCTTGGCTACATCCAAAGAATCAAACTTTCTTAAAGACGAAGCCCTGGAGGAAGTGCCCATGAGCAAACGACCCGCGGCCGAGGGTCCAGATTCGGGGCGCAGGTGGAGGGCCCCAGTCCGAGGCCCGGGAAGGGCGCGGGGTCCTGCCGTTCAGGGCGGCCCACGGGGACCCGAGCGTCGCCCCGAGCGTCGCCTTCTTCAGCCCGGGGACCCGACTCGGGCGGTGAAGACAGCTCGGGTCCCGAAAGCGGCTCTGGCCTCGCCAGCAGATTCCTTCAAACCGGACAGACGCTAATTGACTTATTAAATAGCGAGGCAGTCAGCATCTCCTTTTTCAATAGCCCCAGATCTGCATTTAGACAAAAACAGATCCGAGTTCCTGGTAGAGGCGTTTCTTCCCATCCTGTCACGAGTGACAGGAACGGGGAAATAGACTGCGGGAGAGGGGACAAGGAGGCGGGAGCGAGGGAGCGCAGAGGAGAGGACGCGCGCGGAGACTGGGGAGGAAGGGGCGGGGAGACGCGGGGGAGGGGCGGGGGCGGGGGCGAGCGGGCCGGGGGGGTCTGACGAAGATCCGCGCCGGCTGGGAGCGCTCGCGGCCCTAATTAAAGCCGCGCTCCGGCCCTGGGGACCCGCCTGACGTCGGCGGCCGGGGGGATAAGAAGCGCGGCAGCCGAAGGACTCGGCGCGGGCACCAGGCGACCGCGATCCCCTCGGAGCGGCGGTTCGCGTCCCCTGCGCTCGGGCGCCGCGGGCCATGGAGTAGCGTCGCGGCCGGGCGGACGACGCGGGTGGACGCGGGACAGACGCCCACGACGCGGGCGGACGCTGGGCGCAGGGCACACAGCCGGGCGCAGGTGGTGGCGGGCGACGCGGGCAGGTGCGGGCCGGGCCTCGCGTGGCTGAGGGCTCCCGGGCGCGGTCCCTGTGGCGTGGGACGCCGGCGGACCCGAGGCCGGGCTGCCGCTGCGGGCGGCGGCTTCCTCGCGGAGGTGGCGAGGCGCCCGGAGGCTGAAGAAAGTTGTGTGGACGCCGGGCCCTTGCGGACACCGCGTGCGGGGAAAGTTGAGGGCGCGCGGCCCCGAGGCGCCGGTGTCACCGCGGTCGCCCCCGGCACCGGTCCCGGTGATCTACAGACCCCACCTCCCACGCTCTCCCTCGGTCCTCGCGGCCCCACAGCCCTGCGACCCGGGACGATGCGCGCGCCCGGGCGGCCTCTGCTCCTGGGGCTGCTGCTGGTGCTGGGCGCAGCAGGGCCCGGCCGGGGACGCGTGCAGCCCCAGGGACCCACGGACCGGCAGACGTTGCTGCGGCTCCTGGTGGAGCTGGTCCAGGAGCTGAAGAAATACCACTCTGGGGAGTCCAAGAGGCTGCAGGTCCTCAGCGAACCGGACTTTGCCCTGGGCCGCAGGGAGGCCTCAGACTATGGGACAGACTCAGAGGAGCAGAGAGTGGGTAAGTGTCCCGCCAGTGTGGACCCTAGGGAGCAGCGAGAGGAGAGGGTCCTGGCTGTGTGGATCTGAGGGACAGAGTGAGTGCTCTGGGCAGGCAGTGTGCACAGAGAGGAGCAGTGTGAACTGGGGTCTGCTCCCCAACTGTCTAGCTTCCATGTCTGACACACTCGATTCATATTTACTTGGAAATGGAAATGAGAAGCACATTTTAAAAGATAAATCAAGTTGATTGTTTTTTAAAACCAAGGGGTATTTTTTTTTTTAAGGAAATGGGAATTCTGTGCCTGAGGCTTGCAGATAATTGCCCCTAGTTTGCTTATAAGATGTGGAGCTGTTGCCTAGGTCAGGAATGTGCACCGAACTGGCGTCTGTTATTTTGGAACTGGAAGTATTCTAAGCACAGCATTTCAGCTGAGAAGAAATGGTCCAGAGCTTTCCCCTATGCATTGGCCTTCTCAGAGCAGCTGCCCCACAGGGAATTTCCCAGGAAAGCATGCAAGCTTTTAATGCTTTCATGACACAATTAGGTCAAATATGATAAGGTCAGTTTATATGGATTGACTCAGGTGAGGAGTAAATGAAGACTGACACTAGTTTCCCCCTTGCACGAAGAAGGCTCCAGTGCATCTGTCCCTGTGCAAGGAGCAAAGCATGCTTCCGAAGTGCAGCATCACATACATCGCAGCAAAGTTCCTAACCCACATCAGGGGACAGAGAGTGACCAGAGGACTGTTAGAAAGCAAAGGCTGGAATCAAAGAATGGCAGGGCAACAGTGATGGAAGCAGGTGCCAGTGCAGAGCAGGGGTGTGGAGCTGGCTTGGGAGCCTTCTCCTGGAAAGTCTTAGCTGTCTTACAGGCCAGGCCATTGTGCCCTTCCATTCACACCTTCCTGGCAGGTGGTTTAGGCATTTAACCCTTTTTTCTAAATATATGTCCAGAAAAATGTAATGTTCTATCACTCAGCTTTTGTTTGAAGGGTCAAGTTTTCTTTCTAGCACTTTGAATGTCATGGGATTTGATTTAAAATGAAGTGTCTAAAAGTGATTTGTTCCTAGCAGCTAACCATTTAAGAAACAAGAAGTCTTCTTCATCCTGCAGCTCTGTGGCCCCTGTTTCTATCCTAGTCATAGAGAGTAGACAGATATCACTGGAACTTTATGAGTAGGTAACACTATTTGAAGAAAAACATGTCCCTGGTGTAGTCTTCATTCCATTGTATGTGAGGATCCAGGGGGCTCCCATGCATGATGCTGTGGCTAATTCACATTCGTGGGTTTCTCGACTTTAACTGGGGATCACATTAAACATGGTTTCTTCAGCCAGTGTAACATTTTCTCCCCCTACAGAAATTGTCCCTCGAGACCTGAGGATGAAGGACAAGTTTCTGAAGCATCTCACAGGTGAGCCCCCCCCCCCCTGCCCACTGCCTTCCCTGCCTCTCTGTTCTCTGTGTCTTCATGGCCTTCTTCTTCCTGTTCCAGGTCCTCTTTATTTCAGTCCTAAGTGCAGTAAGCACTTCCACAGACTTTACCACAACACCCGAGACTGCACCATCCCGGCATGTAAGTGAGCGGCCTGCCTTCTGAAATGCACTGGGGCCGACTCTTCACTAGCTAAGAGTTGGGCCACCATCCCCAGAGATCGGAAGAGATAGCTAACCTCTGCATCAGGCAGTGCCACACTGAACAAAATTTACGTAGTCTCTGGAATTAATAATTCACTGGAATTAGTCCATGCTTGGAGTAGGCTGAATGCTTTGATTCACTTTCTCATTTTGTTTATGAATTCTGGTGTGGTGTGTATATTTGTTCTGCTTAAATGTGACAATCAGACAGGTGAAGCATGAAGTACCAGCTGCCTGTGCAGAGGTCTGAGGTTTACATTTAAGTTGGCCTGGAACCTTCAGGTCACATTCTTGATCTTGTCCAGTGCTGTGACCTTTTTTTACATTAGTGATAACCTCATCACCCAAGAATCTTTCAGTTGTTTCAGAATTCTGCACTTCAGACTGCCTTATTTTCTAGCAGAGAAATGTCATTTGCTCTCATATGTCCAGTTCTCAGTCATGGCTGTCCCCTAGGGCTTCTTTCCTTTCTCCTTGGCATGCTTCCAGCTGTTTGGCCATAACAAAACATTTTATTTCCCCAAAAGTGGCTCTTTGTGCTCTTCATAAAGCTATTTTTTAATTGGGACAACTTCCACTTCATTCAAGGCTGACAGGAGAAAAACCATGAAGACTGCTTTCAGAGACCACCAAGGCCAGCAGCCTGCCAGAGACTAGGCATCTGTCCTGCCTTCCAAACAGAGCCAGGTCACAAGAGGTTGTTTTCCTTGTGGGGCAGCATAGCTGCCCTGGTGGTAATGTGCATTGTTTAAGAGCTGTGTCATACACCAAGAACTTTGCTAGGGCCATTCATATCACACCTATGGGTCTCAGCCAGTCTGGTAGCTTGTCTAGCATCTTTCACTGTAAGTAAAGTTCCTAGGTTCACAGGGAGCATTTCTTGAGCACCACACAGCTCCATCTCAGCTCATGGCACATTGACTGGAGCACCTTTATTCCCACTCCAGCCCTGCTTTCTTTTTGTTTCAAAATCACTCAGATGCTTCCTGGGGCCAAAGAAGCTTTTTATTGTTTAATGTGCATATATTTTAAGTTCAGTATTATCTTATAAGAGTAGGACCATGAATTTTACATGTGGAAGTGACCCTAAAGAAACTGCTAATCCTTTCATTTACAGATGGAGACAATTTTAAATTGCTCATTTTCAGTCAATAGGTGTCAGCAAGGCAGGATTCAGGTATCGTGTGTCACTCTCTGCAGTGTCTTTTCCAGGATGCCATGTTATGCCAATGTTGGCCACCTCCACTTGGTTGCAAAATACCAAAACTCCTAGTCACAGTTCACCCTGAGTCCCCAAAGGTGGAAGGCAACATGTGTGTGCACTTAGATGTGTGGCTGCCTTCTCCTCTTCTCAGCCTACAAAGAGCTGGAGAGCTAAGTTGACCACTTCTAGGTTGCTTTAGGCTGCATAAAAGCATATCCCTGGAATCCTGACATGCTGGAAGTGAAAGGGGTCTCAGAACCTTCTTACTCTGTGGTCCGTGGGAGCCTGCTAGAATGCAGAACAAAATCCCTCCCAGACCTAAGGAATGGAATCGACATTTAACTAGATCCCTAGATGAGCTCTGTGCATTAGGGTCTGAGGGGCAAGATTAGACACATCTGGATTAAACAGCATGGGCACCAACTGGGATCTCTAGACAAATTACAAATGGAAGTATTTACAGTTTGCCAATTAGACCATCCTTGAGGTGACCAGCTGCCAGTGGGTAGATAGTTTCCCTGCTTGGAACACAAAGAGTATGAACTCTGAATATTTAGAAGGTATACTCTTATTTAGAGGTGGAGTAAGTTCCTTGTCTGACATACTGTGCATACCTATTATTGTCAATTTACCCATTCATTCAGATTCTTAGTTCAGTATGAGCACTTCCCTTTTTAAGTTGGGTTTTGTTGCTTCTGAGAAAGAAGTGTTAGTAATTTATGAACAACTGTAGCTTTACACAGAATTTATCCTGAGGAAATTCCCTTATGGCTGTGGTCACAGAACCTTTCCATGGATTCTCTGAGGTAGCACCTGGTGGAATAGAGGAATGGGGAACACCAGTCTGCACTCAGAAACTAATTTAATTCAATCTCCAGCACCCCTCCTCCTCAAAAAAAAAAAAAAAAAAAAGGAAAATTAGCTTATTGGGTTTTTTTGCTGTCCAATCCGGGTCTGTGTTCCGCTAATGTGACCCACTTTCTTTAGGACATTAACACACAACTTTTTGCAGCATGGTCAGCTCAGTTTACACATGACCTAAAAGTTTAGTCATGCAAGGAAGGGCATACTAAGATTCTGTGTTCTTGTAAGCAACACTACAGGCATTTCCATGAGCTCTGACATCTGCTTGTGATGCTGACATCCTTGAAGAACCATAAATTATTAAGTCAACAACTTAGAAGCCATGAATGTGGATGACAGAGTCTGTGTCGTTTCCAGGAAATTCAAAATATTTTTTAAAGTGGCTATATCAGTTTATATATTTCCAAAAATTGAAAAATCTACTGTTTCTTTTAGTGTTGTTCAGATAACTGAAAGGGTCTGTGGTTTATTTTTGCTGTAGACTATAAAAGATGTGCCAGGCTTCTCACTCGGCTGGCTGTCAGCCCAATGTGCATGGAAGGATAAGGTAAGCTCCCCACAGCTGTGTTGGCCACTCCCTGAGGGTCAGAATCTGGTTTGGGATATGAGGAGCTCAGAGTTAGAACACTCATCCTTTGGCGGAGGAGTTAGCCTTCCTGAGAGAACTTAACACTCGGAATAGCTCAGAAGGCTACCATGAGGAGCAGGTGCCCCCTACTGGCGGTCCAAGCAGCCCTCAGCCGTCCAGCCCGAACTTAAACAGCAAGGAGCAGGCTGGTGGCTGACTTTGTGTAGATGTGTGCCTGAACTAGGTAGGGCACTCACTAAGAACCATGCCCATTTCCTTTCAGGCTTTCATTCACTCACTGCCACTGAAAAGTGAGTACCAGTGCTACTCAGTTTACAATGGGCTACGTCCCAGCAAATCCATCATCAGTCAAACATGCAGTACGCGTAACCTAGACAGTGTGCTGGCTGGAAGATGTGGCTAGAGGCTGCTGCTGCCTCACAAGGAAATTGTAGGACACATCAGCCCAGGAAAAAATCAGAAATCAAAATCTGAAGTACCATCTGTACCTCGTTGTTACACCAGGGTAAAGTTAAGACATCGTGAGTCAAACCATCCCAAGTAGGGGCCTGTCCATATGTGACTAGGTGTCCATGTGAATTTTATGCTGTACCTGATAAAGGTTGGGAATCTTTTTGTACCAAGAGGCTTCAATAGAATAGTCATCCTCTTTAACTGTTCTCATCAATGGTTTTCATAAGCTGTAGTGGCAGACATGTAAATGAATTCTCAAGAGTTTAATTTTACATTGGCCTCTCAAGGTGTGCTGTGTAACAAATAGTATCAGCTATTGTCCAGGCAGCCAGCAATGGCTAGGAGGTACAGCTTTACTTTCCTGACAGATGCCACAGGACCATCACTAATCCTGCACCAGCAGCAGGTGACTATAGGTAGTAAGTAGCATGGTGCACCAGCTCGTCTCAGCAGTGTATGAGTGTGGTGCTTTCACACATGCCTAGTGTGCAAAAGCAGCAGAGGCCGATTTGGATTCTGCTGTGTGCTGAGCTAGTGCCCGGGTGCTTCATGGCACTATCCTCACCATCTTCACATCCTCTTATCCCCATCAGGAGCAAGTACCCCTGGAAAGAGGAGCAGCACTGAGGACAGGGTGTGTGGGTGCAGAGGGTTGCAGAGGTTCCCTGGCTCGCTATTTGGTAGAGGTGTTCTGAAGCCAGTCAAAGCCAGAAAGTGCAGCTTCCTACTTCCCTCCACATCCTAAGCCCATCAGCTGCCTTGTGGCAGGCAGGCAGAATACTCCTTCAATCCATGAACAGACATATAGCCTACTTTCTTTCAAGCCAAGAACAGACATATAGCCTACAAGTCTCCCATGGGAAGGTGTGGGGAAGACAGGGCCTTTAGCTTGCCATCACTGTTTAGATGTTAGCCACACACCCTTGGAAGTTGCTATTCACTTACAAGTGGGGAGGGCAAAGGTGCCCTTGCCCATCTACAGAGCTCCAGCTACATGTTGCTATCTTCTGGGCAGACCACGGGTGGACATTTGGCAGACCATCAGGGACACTGGGCTTGTGTGGCTCAGCTCTGGCCTGCAGAGGGATAAGATCAGGAAAGTAGCCAGGGGAAGGCATCCTGTGTGCTGAGCCACAAGGCCCTGGCATGGCCTGCTGTCCCTTGGTCACTTCCCCATGCCCACTGCCAATTGTAGGATGAAGGCATGTGTTTGCATGCTTCCAGGCCCAGGGCCACCTGCTTGTTGCAGTCATGGTTGTCACAAATGTAGCCAGGTTCATTTTGGCCAGGAAATGGGTAGATTTAAAACAGTGGGATTTCTACTGTGATGTTTTCATGACTTTTATGTTTTAAAGATTAAATTCTTCCAAAAGTCTTAAATTGCAATAGCTAACTCCTAACTGGCTGGGTCACCAGTGTAGACACAGGTCAGTTTCTCTGTGCTTCACAGCTTGGCTTGGAACATCAGTGAGACCCTCAGAGGCAGAGCACATGTCCCATGACACCCATGGTGGGGATGATATGCTGGGAACCCTAAGCAAATGTTCTGCCAAGTGGCCATGCCATGTCCCTCTGCTGTGCCCAGTGGCCTCTTCTCCATCCCCACACACAGGCTGCAGGGTAAGATCCCATTCTCAGCACCTGCCCAGAGTCCAGGAGGGCAGGTCTCTATATCGGCCAGGAGCAAAGGTCAAACTTTGGGCCCCTTCTCTGGAGCTCACTGACCTCAGACCAAAGAGAAACTACATTCCCTACATCAAACATTCCTTTACAGGTAGTTGGATGAAATGCCTGAGTTCAGGGATATGTTCAAAAAAGTGTAGTTCTGAGCAGTATATGTAAATATCTGCTTTATCATACAGGCTACAGCCTCTTAAACTTGCAGATGTCCCCCACTTTTAAAAATGACGGGTAGGGGCTGAGGTTGTGGCTCAGCGTTAGAGCACTCATCTAGCACATGGGAGGCCCTGGGTTCGATCCACAGCACCACATAAAAATGCATAAAATAAAATAAAGGTATTGTGTCCAACTACAACTAAAAAATAAATGTTCAAAAAAGAATGAAGGGTAATCATTATTCTAGGAGTACCAGAAACCACAGCACTCCTTTTGCTCACCTGTGAATAGAGGTAGAAAGCTGGCCAGCCATCTCGCAGAGTAGCCACCAGCTGCAGACCCCATGGAATGAGCCTGAGGCTGTGACCACACACAGAGGGCCAGGCAGCTCAACATTCCTGTGCTAATGCTAATCAGAGTTCCCATGAGTGGATGGTTTTCTTCCTTTGGTGCAGTGGGCATATGGTAACTGCAAAACTGAATTATTTTCCAGAATAAATGAGACTGCTTTTTGGAATGCACAGCTATATGCACACACATAGAGACTCCATGTTTCTAAGTGTGCTCTTAAACAGCTAAAGCCACAGGTCCTCTAGCACTGATAAACAAAGTGTGTGCAGCCACATGACACCAGATGCATTTGTTTTCAGCTGGAAGGAGCCACACAGCAGGACCCTGAGCAGTGCCTTGGAGACCAGCCGGACAACTCTCCACACCCACTCCATGTGGACAGAGGTTTATTTTTACAGACAGACTCTTCCAAAATTCCTTTGCATTTTGTAAGCTGTTGACACTGTTTGCAGATATGTATTCAGTAAATCAGTGTATCTGACAGAGATCCTTGCCACTATATCTTAAAAAACAAGAGAACACTTCACATTTGATGTGCAGTGTTATGAGAGACTATTTCATTTTCCAGATTAGATGAAATTAAAAAAAATTACTTTAGAAACATAGGGAGAATCTTAAACTATATTTTCATAGAGCATATAGTATGATTCGATATTTTGTATTACTTTTACAATTAAACTCCCAGAATATTATTTGGACCTGCATGAAAAATAAAAAAAAAAAAAAAAAAGAGGTAAATAAAAACTTCAGTCATGTTTTGAAGACAGTGGAGTATAAATTTGTGAATATATCCAGGCCAGTTCCGTTTGTTCTTATATGGTAAATGAAAAACAGCACTCCTGCTATTGTGCAATATGTAAATACTGTAAATAAATAATAAATGAACAAATGTTGTTATAATGAAGAGTTTTTGGAGTGGTCCTTTACTTCTCTTGGGTTCATCACTGGGCATTTGTGGCTTACACACCTGTCAAGAGATCCATACACTGGCAGAAGTCCATAAAACTTAAAAGGCATAAGTGAATGGAATTCAACAGCTAAGGATCCCTGTAAAGGGCAATTAGCATTTTCTAAAAGCAGAGGTTACTATGCATCAATGACATAATCTCCTGAGGTAGCTTGGTCTCTGCTAGTTAAGTATTCCAAATAAGTTGTATCCACTGTTTCCCAGGTAAAGGAATTTTAAGACTTGTGAACAGTTAGGGTTGGATATATCTTGAAAAGACATGGGATCTAATTAAAAAGTTACGTTAAACTCACAAAGCAGAGAGTCCCTGGCCACAATGTGAGCAGATGACACCTAGGGCAGCTGTAGGGACACAGCATCATTCTACAGTTTGAGAGTCTGCTTTTAAGATGCATATCAGAGAGAACTACAGCATTTTTTTTATTTACAGGGATGGAAAGGATTAAGAAATACTCCTGACAATGGGATTACAAAGCAATTAATGACAGGGAACAGCCCTGTCTGCTTACTTAATCCTGCTTCCCTACTGTGGCTGATCATTTGACCTTTTCTTTCCAGTTCTTTAGCTTGGGGACACCATTATCATATCCCTAACCTAACCTCTGGAGTTTTCTGTATGACACAGTAATTCCGCCAGGACCCTCACTCAGGGTGTCAGTCCCCCAACTCTCCCTGTTCTTAGGTTGGTATTCCACTCAGCCTTTCAACAAGGACTGATTTTTTGACTAAAAGTCCTCTACAGGTTAGAGGTCACCAGCTTTGAATGCAGGACCAGGATAGGATAAAGCAAACTGCCACTCACCTGCTGAGTGGCAGGACAGCCCAATCACCACCTCCACAAGGAGAGTTGAGAGTGCCTCTGTCCCAGGGCCCCGATGTCTTCCATACCTAGATGCCAGTGTAAGTGGAACAGCTTATTATTTTCATCATTTTACTTCCTAGTACCAAGGGTAAATATGCACATACACACCACAGACCATCTGAAAGTGACAAGACAGACGGTTTCTCAATTGTTCCTCATTGGTAAATAAAAAGCAGGCGAGACATCAGATTTATCTGTTGCATTTTTATAACTCCCAAGTTTATTTTGAAAACAATCTTTTCTGACATATATCCATGTGAATTTGAGATTATAGTGAAATTACCTGTATTTGCCTATAGCTTTTAAATACTCATGAAACATTTATTAACGTATCAATACTTAAGGACACCAACATAATTGACTGCTTAAATTATTTTTTCATACCTAAGCCAATTTACATTTGAGTTACCTGTGCATATAAAACAAACATACCCCTCAACCAACCATAGGATACATAGCATACAAGTGTCCTTTCCAGATATAATTACATTTTTGGATACAAAGTGGCTCAAATGAGAGCAAATAAGCTGACTTGGTGAAATAAATCAGACAAAAACCAACAAATACTAAAGGTGCTAAAGATCAATCTCATCGGTCTGTCTCCTATCATGTGCACTGTGTGTGTGTGAGCTAAAACACTTGCTGAAGCCATGGAGAGCCGCTATGGACAGGGTCACTGTGACTCTGGATGCACAGATGAGCACAGGTGCCCTGTAGGCACTGGCCAGCCACACACAATCACTGCAGGGAGACCAGGCCATCCAACCTTACTGGGCACAGAGACTAACCTGGGCCTTTGGGTGTGTGTACTTAGTGGTTGGGGCTGTTTTTCTCTCTGCTCACTCCACTAGCATAATCAGGGCAAAGTGAAGGCTCCACTAGTCTAAGAACTCTCACTGCACCCTACAAACTGTCTTTGAGTCCAACATTTTTATTGATTCTTCTGTAGACACAGCTGGTTTCCACCTACAATGATCTGTCAGGTCAGGTCAGAGACAACAGTCAGCTGAAGGGGCAGGCGGGGCCTGGGGCAAAGGAGTGGCAGTACACCGGAGCACAGGATGAGGATGCAGAACGTGGATAGGGAGCGTCCCCAGCTGGTAGCGGGCAGGTGGTCCTAGTGGGCCTTCTCCAGGAAGGCTTTGCAGCACCTGAGACACTGCTGGTACACCACTTCAAAGTCAGCATCGTTCCCCTGGAAGACAGGAAGAAGGACAGCTGGCAATACCAGCACCCAAAGTGTCCTTGAGGGACCTCAGCCTGTCACTTAACACCGCAGGCCTGGACTTGCAGATCTTTACATTGGCCCTACCATGTGCACTGTACTTACGTAATAGGGATCTTCAATAATGAGTTGTTTCTGTGGATCATAGCTTCCAAGCAGTTCAATTTTAGCTTTGCAGTTTTTAACTTGATTACTTTTTCTATTCAAATCTCTGCAAAATCGAAACATGAACTTAGTTTTCTGATCTATGGTTTCAAGTTAAACAGGGACATCTGCTAGGGGTTTATGAAATACCCATATCAAAATCCAGCAAAAGTGACCTGATTTTCAGTGAAACCAAATCCTGCACTGAGGCACAGGCCCTTTGTGCAGCTGTGTGCCACAGCTCTGTCTCCTGGGCAGGGAGCGAGCAGCAATAGCACGTCCCGCTACTTCCTGCACACAGGAAGTACACCTCACCGTCAGACAGCAGCTCCGTGTTCTCTTGTGAAATACACTGAAACCATCAAGTCAGAAAGATATTTCAGAGAGAAACAAGGTGACATGAGGGAACTCCAAGAGCCACAGTTTCTTCCCGTGGTGGCCAAACATGCATGTTCATGGCTCTTGCCTCACTACTTATGCCCACACCACTCTCCTGGTGTCTTCACTTCTAACTTTCACACTGCTACATTTTTATCATTCTTCCACATAGCTGACAAATTCCAACTGAGCCCCTATGATGAGTCTAGGAGCAGGACAGACAAGAACATCCCTGTCCAAAGTCTCAGAGCTGAATCAGGCTCAGTCCCTGGACCTGCAGGGCCTCACAGTCAGTGGACAATCTGGTCCAGGCTGCAGGGCAACAGAAGATCCAAGAAGAAGTGAAATTAGGCTGGGACACAAAGGCCAGAGCACCAGGGGAGCTTCACCCAGAACTGACCCGACTGACATCCCACAGGGAACACTGTACACTCAGCAACAATCAAGAGTATCTAGTCTCCTGATAGGATGCCTTCTATAATACCTATAAGCTGTGGTATTTTTTTAGAAAAGTAAGGACAAAACAAATTAACAACTGAACAATAAAAATGAAAAAAAAATCTGAATTTTAATGAAGGGCCTAATTAATACAAAAACATAAGCAAAATTGTTATGATGGTTACTAGTTCATTCCTATAAGTAATTAAAAGCACAGATAATATCGCTTCATCAAAAACATGGAATATTTTTAAATAAGTAGTGATGCAAGTCAATAAATGCTTATGGTTACACTGACAGCAGCAATAATAAACACCAGGGGGCTGGGGGTGGACAAGATGAGGGCACGATGATGTGCGAGGAAGCTGTGGCGGTGGAGGCTACAGCCTAGGCCTCCCACATCCACCACCTTTGCTGTGCACCTGAAGTAGTAACTAAAGCTCGCCATTCCTCAGTTTCCTCTCTGACAATAACAGAAACTTCCTGCAGAAGTGCTGGGGCCTGCAGGCATGTAAGCTTGAGGTTTTATAGTCACTGGTCTATAATACCTCAGCCCATTAGTTTTAGCTCAATCTTAAATCCAGTAAAAGGTCTTCTGCCTTTCCAGTCTCACTTTGAGTGGGGGCAGTGCTAATGGAGGAACAAACACTCCTAGCTCGTGAATTGCTGCAGTAAGGAAATCAATCATAGGAATCAACACATCTCCTACAACCACAGACCCCAGCCCTATTGTCCAGCTCTATCATGCCAAACGGATTTTCCTGTCTATGTTTCTCTTTGTAAAGAGACCCAGGAGAAATACCAGATTATTCTCTGAATTTCCATTTATGTTATTTAAATAAATAATTATGCACATTGTAACAGCACTGTGTATGAGAAACTGTAACATAATGAAAGTCACTTTGGATAGCAAACTACTTGGCCTATTACCACACTGAGAATGGGATAAGATTACGCTTTGAAAATAGATTCAATCCCTGGTATCTCCCCTCAAAAAAAAAAAAAAAAAAAAGATTACCTCAGGTTGCTTTCATCCATACACAATATATAGTCGAATGTGGCCAAATCTTCTTTGGTCACCTAAAATTGAGCAAGAAGTCAAAATACAGTTATTTATATTTATACCTCTCAAAAATAGAGAAGAAGAAAAAATAAAACAGAACCAAACACTATGTTTCTTAAACTTGCTAATTAACAATGTAATTAAACAATTCAGGACACTTTTAAGTTAAAATACAGTTAATCTACTTCCCAAGTTGTACTAGGGCTTACAAGAAAATTTTATCTCCTAAGACTCCTTGTGGTGATCACTAAATAGTCAGCTTCATCCCCTAGAAACCAGATGCAGCCTGTGGGCACACAACCCTCCATCACTGTTTCTCATTCATGGGCACTGAGTGTCCCAGGCCCTGTTACAGACCCCAGCTGAAGCCACAGGCCTTGTCCTTGTGAAACTACCCAATCAGGCAGGAGGCACAGAAACCTCAGAAAACACCAAGGACGGGGTTCTGGGAGAGGGAGGAGGCTAAATTTCCAGCAGGGAGGTCAGAAGAGGTTCATCAGAAGCAACTGAATTGTGGACTTTACCCTGACCAAACACCCACAACTTAAATATGACACAAGGAGACTACCACTCAGGATCTCCTGAGTCTAACCCAACATCATCAATTACAAATGTAAACCACTTACGATGCAAGTGAAAACTTATTTTATAAACTGTGATTATTAAGAAAATAATAAAACAAAAGATCAACATGTTGCAGAATAAAAGTGAAAATAAACCCTAGAATATAACTTCAATAATAATCTTCCTTGTTGAAAAAAAATCCTCTAAAATGTCATTTAATATAGGAGAC